CCCCCCCCCTTCCCCACTTTCTATTTGAATTACCCCCCTTGATAAGGTCAAGCGCTTGCGCAATAATTCGGAAGTGGCTTATTCAACTGATCACTCATTGGAGGAGTTGTTCCGTGTGTGGAGAACACGACTCCCAATCTAGGCACTCTATAATTCAACTGGAACAGTAGCTCCGTATGTTGAGAAACGACTCTTGATACTTAGGAACTACTGGCCACAGTTCAAGTCAGTTGTTGTGTGAGTCGGTGTGTGGAGAAATGTCTCCTCATTGAGTTGCTTCGTATTTTGAGAAACGTAAGAATGCCCTTAATACGTACCATTTTTAAGACGTAGCTGGAGCTTGAGCAGAGAGAAGTAAACTGGTAAGCCATTCCATCAAAAGCTTAGCGTAGAAGCGAACACAGCAAGAGAGTAATTTGCACAACGTCAACGTTGTTAGGAAGCCATTTACCTAAGTGACGTCAAAAGAAAACGACGTCATAGTGCTTTGACGTTAACGACTTATGGGCGTTTCTTTAATATTCAACCAAAGGAGTACCTAAAATTTACCATTTTTAACAAAAATTGCTGGTGGGTTTGATGTGAGGGGGATATATATTTAACAATACAAAATTTTAGAAGGTAAAAGATATTTTATGTAGAATGCTCCGGTATATTGTAAATATTTAAAGGGACGAGTGGCGCCATTTTTTAATTTATAGACATTTTACAGTTAGTCGCCCAGGCAGTGGAGTTTCTATTAGGATGCCCCACGACTAGAGTGGCGCTGTCAAATTTCTTACCCATGAGTTCTAAAAGGGACAGTGAGCCATTTTTTTGACCAATCAAACTTTAGGCTAAGAAACGGGAATTTTTTCAGCCATGCCAATCAGTAATAGTGTTCAAAGCTCACCATCGAAGTACCAGGTTTGAATGGGTTTGAGGATTGGCCTTACTCTGTGATTATATAGAAAAAAAATAATTATAAAGAAATAGTGAGTAAAATTCCTAGTTTGAAGTATTTTTGAACAATCATGCAATAAGTAGCCTTCAATATTGAAAGAAATATTCGGCACATATTTTGAGACGGGTTTTTATACAAATCTGACCAGATAGAATGAGTTAGTTCTCGGCTGACGATATATAGAAATAGTGAGTAAAATTCCTAGTTTGAAATCATTTTAAAGGAATAATGGGATCTCGTACAGGTCTTGTACCTACTTCTAAAGACTAAAATCAACCCACCAATATGCCGTACTTTTTACTATAATTGCCAAACATTACGTTGACAAAAGGCAAACCAAGACCAAGAGCAAGAGCTCAGATCCTAGTTCCAATCCAATTGATTTGACCTTGCGAGATAATGCAAGGCTCCATATAGCCTACATCAGAAATAGGATCTAAAATCTTCTAGTAAGGTGATCAAATACCATGTATGTCATTAAAGTATAAAGTATACATTGTGTGTATCCGAAAGGCTGATCATATAGCAGTACAAGGATTTAGTTTTTAATTTTCACGATAAACAACAATCTCATGGTTACAATCTCGTGGTTTTCAAGGCCGTGTTGAAATAGAGTGATTTTTAAGGTGCCCTCATACCATTGCGATTACCAGTATGATTGCGAAAAATGAAAGTTGTCATGTGTAGGTCGAACCGACCGACCGCTATCCTCATTCGCAACTGGTGATTACTATGGTGAGAGGGCTCTGTTCTGAATAATGAATTACGTTACGGCTTCAGATATTATGTCTCTCAAAGTCTTAATCAAAAAGCACGTATATTAAGTAACATATTTTTGACGTTGTGCAGCTTTTATTACACAAAGAATACATTATATAAATTCGTATGACATTGGATAGTCAAAGTTTTAACTCAACAACACAAACAATATAGGCCTACTTGGCATTAATCTTACTGAAGAATCAGTACTGTTGGAATTGACTGAAGTGAAATCGTGTACAACAATCTGATCGTGATCGCAAACAAAATACTTCAATATACTGTGTTATTTGTAACAAAGAAATCATCTTGCCTCGGGAATCATGCCGAGATAGAATCATTGGTTCAATTATCTAGATATGACATAGATTATAGTATAAGAAAACGAACACGAACCCGTGTTCGAAGACGTGACGACGTGCCATCAGATCCAAAAATATAACTGCAAAAATATTAACTATAATTTCAACTTCAACAAAAGTTTTTTCCATGGATTGCAACGTGAATGCTGTAAATGATAAGCTATGCAGTCAGCGGATCTTCAATTAATGTTATATATGAAATCGCTGGATAAAAAGCATCAGTTATTATTTGTAATGGTCTCCTTATGAACAGTTATTATCACATACTCCGTAATATATAAAATCAAAGTTACCCGTCATAGAACCTAGAAGTTGGTACGGGCCAACCGATGTTAGAAACACAAATCACTAAAACGGGACGATTCAAAAATAACTCTTCCTACAATTTGTACAGTTTGAAATGGAAATAGGCAAAACTATTTCAGTTGTACAGTTTTAATATGTAACAAAGGTATGGGATTCAAGTTCGCCTCACATTTCAACAACAACGACTTCCTCGAACGTCAGGCCAATAGCTTCATCGATTTTCGCTGTAGCAACCGGATGTAACCTTCACATTGATGACCTTTATTGTATCAGCGACCACTTATCCGCGGATGAAGCTATGCTCTCAAGTACAGAAGTTCAGGCACTCAATGTCAATCACAAGCTTAAAAGAGCATTTTATCACTTTCTTACTCAGTTTATATAAATACTATACGGGGATTTATTGAAATTATCTACATTTCAACATATAATACCTCGATCCTTATTTCATATTCCTCAACATATCTCGTACGTCATGTAATTGGCAGCTCATATTCACTACCAGAGTCTCTAAATTAGCTATTCTTTGTTCCAAAACTTTTTGATCTTCTTTGACTGTTGTGACGACATTGCACATGTTATTGAGACCGGTCGATAACTCAACTGGACCGACCATACATTCCGATAAGTGGCTCTTTGTAAACTGAGCCTCCTGCATTACCCGTTTAGCGCGCAGTAGTTTACTTCGATGTTTTAATAAAGTCGTGTCCTTGTAGTGACCATTTTTCTTTAGACGCCATATTCGTATAGTTTGTTTGACAACGTCGGATGCGGCGTTTTTCACGCATTTATCTAGTGCCACTTGCTGTACAAATGTATGGATGTATTTTTCAGAGCGCGATTGTTCCAGTTTCTTTGCAAGTACTGCGACGGAAAGGGCCATAATACCCACTCCCATTAACCCAGTTGATCCGGCGATAAGACGGCCACAGTAGCTGTGTGGAATTAAATCACCGTAGCCGACCGTCAGAAAAGTAACTGCAGTTAACCACATGGCCTGAGTAAATTCACCAAGTTCACTATTGGGGTCAGTGTACACTTCACATAGTCTGATGTTCCAGGAATTAATTAAAAACGTACTCAACATAACTGTTCCCAGAACAATACCCGGGGTCGATGACATTAAAGCCCTGAAAACAAACTGAGCATTGATCTTTACACGGCTCAAAGCACCCAGACTTTGTACGGAAGTGTCCAGAAATAGATTGCTATGTACGACCACGAAGCGCCCGAAGAGATACAATCTAAGAAACATTAATATCGTCAATATAGCGTTAATTGGTATGTTTCTTGCTGTCAGAACGCTACTTCCCATATTGGTGTTCGAGACCGAGATCGTCGGTATGAAAATATTAAGAAAAGGCAGCGGATGTATAAAACAAACCAAAAGTTCAATACTTAATTTAACCCATTTAGTAGCTGTCATGGCTAGACGCCAGTCTTCAAACCCAGCACTAGCCATGTACAGTCGTAGACCGGTAGCATGATACGCAATGATGCTAAATAACAAACAAACGGTAGTAATAGTAGTGAATACGCGTATGGCCGTAGACGCAGAGGAATCGGCTTCAATTTTCCCTGATAGCACAAGTTCTGTATCAATGACAACTAATACAATCCCTAATAACCCTAACACAAAGCTCACATCCACGATACACTTTCTTTGTGTCAGTACCTCTCGTCGTCGCCGTAGACGGTAACCGAGATTGTTTGAGCAATCGTACTGCGTCATGACGGACGCTGGTCGAAGTTCTTCAAAGTCTCCATCGGTTAATTCGGTAACGAGTGTTTCTGTACTATCGTATTTGACATAATTCGATGGGCCTAGAGACAGGATAGGACCCTCCATTTTGAATATCTATTCCATTCAACGTGCACCTGCAAGAACAAATAGGAAATTGATTAAAAAATAATACAGCAATAAACAACAATGCAATGAAACAAAACAGTTATCATTCAGAATTAGCCATTAAGACGACAGACACTAAGTAGCTTAAATAGTTAAAGAGGCTTTGATTTTATATTAGTTCTGATGTTCTTTAAGCTGACTGATGGTTTATCAGAGAACCAACCATCAAGTAATGATAACACATGGTCATAATTCTTATTTTACAGAGAGTGATATTCGTAAACATATCATGTCCATGCTTTAAAGGTTGCTGGAAGTCAAAACCATGGAAGTTAAACCCCTTGATATAAACCATATATCCGTTTATAACGTCACAATCACAAGGGTACCAGTACAATCAAAACGCTTAAGTTTCAAGTATCAGCAACGTCGACACGCAAATATGACTTTCCATGGTCTAGAGATAAGAAATCTTTACAATAATTGGCGTCATTAGTTAGTTTTAACCTTTTGTTTACAATTATTGATACCAGTGATTCACTGAGATCTTCAGCATTGATCGCAGGTATTTTTATTTTCTGAAGCCTGTTAGCTGACGTGACAGAGTGACAGTAATCGTAATAAGTGACAAACTCATAAATAAAGAAAACAGATTTGAATTTTTTGACGATTATTTCGCAACATGGAGTTTATCCCTGATGTCTGCTTGTCAAACATCTCTACATTTTCTTGAAAATAAACTACCTTTGGGTATTAAAAAGGATATTTACTGTCACTTGTTAAAGAAGTTTATGTAACACAAAAAAGATTAAGAATTGTCATATTTATCAGAAAATGATGGAAGTAAGCAGTTTGGACAACAGTAGTTATCAGACAATGACTTGGTTTATCTCTTTTTGAGAGTTCACATATATAGCTTAATATTATTGAGTATTATTGATACAAAGCTTGTTTATGTATAAACCTTTTTTGTGCCGATTATGCTAGGTGGTCCAATATGTATTTGCTTTCCAGGTGTGCACAACGCTTACAAGAAGATTCGAAACAATTGAACACTGTACGATATTAAAAACGGCAATATTGAATTTAATTAATTGGAAAAACATAAAGTTGTGTTAAAAACTAGGTTAACGACTATGATAAAATTATTCAGAAATAATATGTAAGGTTTCTAATGATAAAAACCGTAAAATTTAAACTCGGTTTGTTGTTTTTGAAAAAAGGTTTCAAATTTGTAATTATAAGTTGGAATCATGAAATTGTGTATAATATGGGCAAAAATCGTAAATACTGCCCAATACGATGACGCATTTCCATTTACGTATGGGGATCAGATAGACGTTACGGCTGGCACACTGTATGCTCATTTTCAGAGGACCGATAGAATCTGCGGGCAACTGTAATTTTAACAAGTAGCTGAATTTTGTAGATCTGAGGGCTGAAATTTCGCTATTTCTGATTTTCAGCTTTCCAGAGAAAAAAAATTGGTCTGGTCATCTATGTGAGATATTTGGTTTGCATATCTCGGTGTTTCGCCTCATCATAACTTTTTCGACACGAAGAAAGTGTGTTAAATATTCAAAAGAAATATGTCCAACTCTAATGAGCTCTAACCTGGGAATTACTGACCAACCACGGAGCAACTCAAACACGAAGTTGCTAATGGAATTGTTTAGTTCGATTTTTTTTCATTTTGGTACACTTATACATAGACTCAATATATAACCACCTAATCTTATCTCCCAAGAGATTCTACCCTATATTTATAATATAATATATGGAAATGCTATTTGTTGCTCTGTATTTAACTAATCCCCAGTGTTGTCGGCAGATGTAAAATCCTCCTAATGGAACAATACGGAGTTATCAAGAGGCTAATCTGCATTCTAATACTACTAAATTGAAGCATTAACAGACAGATGGACAAGCGGTTATAATTGGTTTGCTGAGACCTCGAGTCTAATTATTGTTTTTCAGGAAATAAATCTTCTCTAAAACTCTAATATATCTGCATGGTAAATAACCAAATCATGTCGCCAGGATTGACAGTGTCAACGGCTACTTAGTTTATTATTACTTAATTATTATACAAATTTCACAATAGACGTTGCCTCAAGTAGACGTGAAACGATAATGAACGGAACGGACTCTGACACATCTGACATCCCACTCTCACTGGAATGCCCATTGCATATATGCACAGACGCTTCTTTTCAAATCAGATTAAAGTCTGTATTTTAATATAAACCTACGATTGTGCCCATTTCTGATATTATGCATTTATGCGACTTATCTCCGTTTTAACTAACAATTTTCGTCTTCCCTTCAGCAATCTATATAAATGACTAACTGACTGGTTCGGCGAAACAAAAGTTCTGAAAACATGCTAATTCACAGTGCAGGTCATCCTCAGACACCGAAATTAAACCGGAAGTTGTAACTCTTCACTTATTCAGCGTCTCCAAAGAAATTTTTGACGTAAAGTATATACATACAACTCAATATTTTACTATGTACCTTTAAAAAGATTAATAGTATGAAATATTTAATACGATATAGTGAGATATTTCTATACAAGTAATGATTATATGACAACATACAGTACAACAGCTTTTACTTCAAATACTCTCTAGTTTTAAAGATAGAAACAGATGGTGCTATTTCAACATACCACATGCTTATCTGCCACGCACGAAATACCTGCTTGCCTTTTGTACTTGGATCAAATCAATTAACATATTTTATTTAAAAACAATCCTATTATTCACTTGAATAGAAAATCGTCTTAGAGTTGCGTTTTTGATCAACCGACATACCATGTAGGCAGGTGTGACCAGTCTATGTTCAAACTCGCTCCTGAAAATCGATGACAGATGTTGTAATTGTATCCTTTATTCGAAATGTCAGGTCGTATTTTTTTATCCTTTCTCCATTACGCTTTAAAAATAAGAATCGATTTAAAGAAGTTAAGTAAAGTATACCACACATGTTATAAGAACTTTGTCAACATAACTTTTATTCATATCCTTATAACACTGCTTTTCTAGTTATAAAATCCCTTCCCGAATAACCATGTCTTTGAATGTAGTGGAATCCCGCCTCGAAAAACTCTGCTGTCTGAATGTTGTAAAGTACCTTCCCGAATAAACCCCGCTCTTTGAATGTGATAAAATGAATGAATCATGCTCGAAACACCAAACATCATCAACTATTTTGTCAAACCAGACGGTGGTCCAATGTTGATACAAATGACGGGTCTATTCAAATTTTAAATTGACAATTACTGACTAAATAGGTTTAATCCAGAGGGTGGTCCACTGATATACTGTAGTTACTATCAAGTCATCAAAATTAAAATCTTATTATAGAATTAGGTAATGTATGCAATAAAAATCCGCACAAGCAGGACAATTTCTTTAATCAAAATCCCGTCCAAAGCAGGGCAAAATCGACAGTAAAATTTTTATAAATGTGGACTCCTCCAAATAGAAGTACCATCAGGTGTTTGAAAAGAGTAAGCATGGCCTGCTTCGTGGGCGACATCTCCACTACTATAGAGGCCAGCATCATGAGATACAACCAGATCAATTTATTTCCGAAAAAACAAATTAGCGAAGATGCTTGAAAAAAAGTTGACAATTTTGTCCAGAAGTTCGCTAAATACAGTAAATTTCCACGTGGAAAGAAAAGTTACTTGAGTCACAAACCTGATACGGTATTCCGCAAGTATCAAATAAAGAATATTGATGTTGTATATTCCGATGGGTATAAATGTAAACGAAGGTCTACGTGCTACTGTTCTATAACATTTCTAGGTTAATGAGACGGTTTCTAATGAGAAGTTTTACTTGCAAGAGAATAGTTTGTTTAAACTGGGAATGATCGATGCCTCGTGTAAGGAGTTATTTGAGCTACACAATCTGCGGTGACCAACTGATCATAAAACCTCAAATACATGGAATCTGAAATTTTAGAATTCTCCCTCAAAGATGATTTGTGCTGTTTATATTCAATGCCATGTTGGTCACTAGAAATTTTCCATTCTGGATTATGTTGAATTTGCTTTCTCCTCTATTTGATATATTTAAAACGCTGGGCGGTATATTTTCAAATTAAAGGTACATGTATATGACGTCAATTGCCTCTGAGATCATGATAGTATATGATTGATCAATAATCTTTCTTGGTCAACATCATTACTAATTAGAAGTCAATCGTTGATATATTCATTTCAATTTGACGATACCGTTATAAACCTACATCTGTTAAAAATCATGTCAATAAGACAAATGGGTTAATAACAAGCTTTGGTTTGCGTCATTTGAAATTAACTGATAGATTGTAAAGAAGTTGTGATGAATACCATAGATATATTTATTTTATTATTGGACTAACAGACGTCATGATAGGACAATAAGTTTCTATGAAATATTGAAAAAATAAGAGGAAGATAAGTAGAAATTGACTTCCTAATGTCAAACGTAACGAGTTCAGTTTTTCCCTGCCTCCCTCGTTACTATTATCTATTTTTCTGATAAAAACATTGTTATAGAGGAAGTCGCAGGTGGTATGTTTTATGTCCAATTGTCATTAATGTCATATAAGTTTGAATTCCAATTCGAGCATTAGTAGAATCCGTTTTGAAGGTTACAAGATAAAAATAAAGTAAATATGTCAATTCGGATCTTCTTTTTTCGCATCTGATCTTTCCAAATGTCATCAGGAAACGTTGGTTATGAAATAATGTATATGTGACGACACAACTTCTATATCAGGGAAAAATATCCACGATTACAACATAAGAACAAAAAGCGAAGTTATTGGTACCTGTTCATAATGCTGAATTATAAATGGAATAGGTCTGGCAATCACACAGTATTCTC